GCTTGTGAAGCAGGTGGCAGAAACACTGAGCTAAATCCCCAGCCCTCATCTCTTGTCATACTTTGTTCACATGGTTTGCACCTGTTTTTACAAGTAGTAGATGATACAGTCCTTCCCTCCATGGTATGTTTTAATTGTGCACCTCCTATGTGACAGGCACAGTGGTAGCCTAGCAGTTTGTAGCAGTGAATAAAATAAACAAGATCCTCACCTTTGTGATGATAACAGTGGATGACAGAGGGAGTAAGCAGTCAAGAGCTGTCGTCAGAGTCACTGCCCTGAGCTGGATGAAGTGATGCATGCCCTTAATCCCAGCACCTGGGAGGGTGAGGCAGGAAGATCACAATTTTGAGCCCAATGTGGGCAACTTGGTGACATAGGGAAACCCTGTCTCAAAAAAAAAAAAAAAAAGAATTGAAGTGCCAGGGATACGGTCAATATGAAGGCCCTGGGTTCAATTCCCATTACCAAAAAAAAGCTGACCCTGGTTATTGGTGAGGGTGTGAAAGAGATTTGTTTTACCTGCCTTACCCATGGTTCCCTCAAACCCCCACCCCTGGGTCTTTTCCTCCTTCCTGAGTTTTCAGCCTTGGAGGTGCTAGGGAGTGCTTGTTTTGCTGTGTCAGGCCTTGCCAGCAGCCTCTGATAGAACTGGTTGTTACTCTGAAACCCTTGTGCAAGGAGTGTGATGACTAGATTTCACAGCTTTGGCTGAGGGAAAAGAGTGAGGACGAAAGAAACATTTGAACTCAAAAGCCGTGGCTTCCGATCTGTCCCACTGTGCTGTGCTGCAGAGCAACAGCTCTTATACCTCAGTTTTTATCTTCAGAGGCCAGAGCTGGAGATATTGATGCTGTAATTTAAATACCGCTGTTCCTTAGCAACCCCTCTTAGCCATGCTTTTCATAATTTACCCTTAGTTTCAGAGCTTCTTAGAATGACACTCTGGTAGGATCAGACCAATGCATTTTAGCACATAAAAGTGAATAGTTTTTCATAAGACTAAGTGGCTTTATAATCCTTCATCTCTGACCCTGCCTTGCAGCCCCCCAGCTGCTCCCGTTATAGGACAGGGTTTAGGGGAATCTGTGACCAAGAGCTGTTGTCTGCCTCACACACCTGCAGCCTGGGAATCATTAAGCAAATTGTATTTTTCTAGTGAATATTTCCTTTAAGAGCCTTGTGTCAAACTCTGGCCAATATCATCCAGCCTTGGCTCATTCTCCTCCATCCCCGACCCTTCCAAGGTGTACCGGTTTCCAACACACCCCTTTCCATTCTGTCACCCTCACATCTGAGCAGGTTTTTGCCCTGCCAGCACAGTAGCCCACAGAGTCTGGGAAGAGTGGTTGCTGTTAAGGAACTGGAAAGCCAGCTTTTTAACACTTCAGAGACAAAATGTTTAAATCCAGTGCCCACACATTGCTTCGGTTCTGCTCAACATTAACCCTTGCAGAGTAGATACAAACATGAGTATCAAAGGTTGTCAAACTTTCTAAAAACTAAAAAATCTTAACTTAGATGTGTTCACCCAGCTTTCCCTGAAATGTTTGTATTTTATAATTTTTAAATGCATTTATTCTGTGGTATTCCTTTTTCTCACTTGTTACTTGAATTTTAAAAAGTCATTGTCACAATTCAAATAATTCAGAAGTAACCAAAATTAAAGTAATAGTCTCCTGACCTCTATCCTGTTCAATTTCTTCTTCTTGGTTATAATTTACAAATAATTTGCCTTATCTCCTTCCATACTTTTTCAGTACTCGTGCAAATACATTTTGTACACATAACACACACAAGTGCGTGCATACACAGAGGATAAAGCATATGTACGTTATACACACTACACGTGCTGCTGGGATCAGCGTTGTATATATTATTTGATAAATACAGTATTCACTTCAGAGTAGCTGAATGGATATTCTTATAAATCTGTTTTTACTCTTTTTTATTATTTGCACAGAATTTGGTAGTATGACTACCATAATTATGTCAACACTTTTCCTTGTTGGGGAATGCTCAGGCTGTATCTGTTTTTCTGCAAATAAATATTTTGCTATAGATAAACTTTTCTGACTTGATTCATTATGTGTTTCTGTTGGATGAAACCCAGAGAGGGCACATTTAAAATTTTTGCACAGTGACATAGTAAATTTTTAAAATACTGTATAATGTTATCAACAGATCATTACTACTGAGATTTAAATTTTTATGCTAATTAAAACTTTTTGCTAGATCTACACTTGTCTGATAGACCTGAAGTTGATTGCGCTTACACCTTTGTTATTTAAAAAATATATATATATATCTTCTTCCATGATAGATTTATAAGTTACAGTCACTTAATTGGATTGCACCTCCATGCATTTAGGACTAAAATGCCATTTAGATAAGTGCGGTTGGCTCAGATGTCCTCATTCTGCCAGAGTCAAATCAAAACCTCCATTAAATCATACATTTACTTCTAGAATGAAGTCGGGGTCCTTTAAGGCCTACAGATGTTTCTAAAGTTGCTCAGCAAATTGTTAGGAACTGAAACTGTACATGAGATCAATACCTGAGCTCTTGGAGAGGATGAAAGTTCAAAACATTCAGTAAATATAAATGATACAGTACCATTAAACCAGACATGGTGGTACATGCCTGTAATTCTAGCTCTCTTGGAAGTTGAGGCAGAAGGTTCACAAAGTTGAGCCCAGCGTGCACAACTCAGCACAATGTTGGCAAACCTGTGGCGCGCTTGTTATTGTGTTTTTCTTTTAAGACAAAAGATGTTAGTGTAGAGTTGTTTTTTCTAAATTAAAACCTCATTATGCAGGTTTAATTGCAGTGATGGCACTTTGCAATAAGTAGTGGGTTTTGGGTTGCATTTTGGCACTTGGTCTCTAAAAGGTTGGCCGTCACTGACTTAGCAACTTAGGCCCGGTCTCAAAATAAAAAACAAGGGCTGGGGATATAGCTCAGTGCATAGGCCCTGGGTTCAATCGCCAGTACCCACAAAAAAAGATACAGCACTATTATTGACCCCCAAGCTCCTGGTTAATTCTCTTATAGTGAGTCTTGTGCAGTTTGTTTAATAAGAAAAGCAACTAACAGAAGTGAGTTTACAAAACAATGCAATTTGCAAAAACACAGGGGTGCAGTGGGGATAATGTCCAACCTCCTGTTCAAAACACAGAGACCTCATAGTTGAGGATACTGGCCATAACCATCCTTCTATATCCTTGTATGGCTACTTGGTTCTTTGTAGCAAAGTCCTTGAAAAATACAGCTCCAGTGCTGTAATTCTGTTCTTAAATTTATGAATTGAAAATAGCCTAATGACAAGGTAAAGTAAAAAATTAAGATAAATTTAAATAGGTTACTGAGCCATTAAAAATGACATATATAGAGAATATCTAATGACATGGGGAAATAGACACGTCATAATCAGGGGAAAACAGGCTTCAGGATTATGGTAGTGAGCTGGACATGATTGTACTTGCCTATAATCCCAGCATTTTGAGAGACTGAGGCAGGAGGATCCCAAGTTCAAACCTAGCCTGGGCAAGTTAGTGGCTTAGTAGGAAATTGTCTGGAAATTAAAAAAGTGGCTGGGGATGTAGCTCAGTGAAAAGGCCCTGAATTTGATCCTGAGAACCACCACTAGTGGCCCCCTTTCCCTGCCCCAGAAAGGTGGAGGGAGATGGTAGTGTTTCCCAGGACACATGTGAGATGCTGAAGTCCTATGTGGCCAGATTAGCTTGAAAATTACTTAGCTGAACACACAAGTTTGTGTATTGTAGGACTTACCTTGTTGGAGATTCACAGAACATAAGGTAAATATTTGCCACATTTCGTTGACTTTGAAACATTTTTTTAAAGTTTATTACTACCTTTTAAGGCACTCACTTTCCATTGAATGTAGGATAAAAAATGCCAATACATAGTTCAGTCTCAGTTTTTGTTTTTAAAAAATACACATGTATTATATGTGTACATATATACTTATACTTTTGTATTCATGAATGTATAGAAAAGTTGGGAAAATACATGAAAAGGTCCCATCAGAGTTGTGAAATCACTTATAATTTTTTTCTGTATAGCTAGTCTGAATTTGCCAAATTTTCTGCAAAAGAGAAAATATTCCAAAATTGAAAAAAAAAAAGTTGTTTTTAAATTCTCGGCTTATAAAAAAACACTGGTGAAAGGGGGCTTAGCTCTAGTTGTCAAACTGGAAGAAACAGCTTTACAAAAAAAACAAAACAAAGCCTTGGCAGCAGATCTGAGTTCATCCTCTTGCCTGTGATCTTGGGCAAAGCATTTAACTTTGGGCTGTCACTTGCAAAATAAGAATATAGTAATACCTCCCACACCGCTGTGGGGAAAATCCTGGCAGAGGCTGTGACATGTGCTCATAGATATTCAAAGATTGTTTGTTTCAGTTTTTTTCTCTAGTGATTGCATATATAGGGAAACATCTCTTTAAATGAAGTTTGCTGTGTCGGGATAAATGTTTTTACTGTAGAAATACACTTCTGAAGTGTTGAATGAAATGCTCTTACTCTTGAGCAGAGGATGTGGTCACTGCTTCACATCAGAGGGAAGTGGGATTTTCAGACTAATTTAGATAGATAGATGATTTCCATTTAATTTTGAGACAATTCTTTTTCCTCTCCAGTTGCTTTTAGCATTTGTCAAATAATTTTCATAAAGATAAGGTTTTACTTACCAGGATCCATTATCTATGACTCACCCCTGTCTTTGGCTTTTTTCTCCCTCAAAATCCTCAAATTAAAAAAAAATTTTTTTTATTAAAGAATTTAGTTTTTTTTCTCCTAGAATTGTAGGATTTCTTATTGGTAAGGTTGTGTCTTTTAATATGTAACATGTAATTACTTTAAAATGTTAAGATTTTGGTGCCATGCATGGTAAGCTTTACTGTTAAAAGTATTTCTTTGTGCTTCCTTCACAGCTGTTTTCTGCAGTTATTTTGTTTTGTTTCTCTGTTTGTCATACAGCAGCTCTACAGAAAGAAGCCAGGTTTGGCCATCACCTTTGCAAAGCTGCCACAAAATTTGGACAAAAACCGGTATAAAGATGTGCTGCCTTGTGAGTATCTAGCATGAATGCCCATCCCTCCTGCGCTGAGATAATGTTTCCCTTTTTAAAACAGATTGCCTGGTATTCTGGAACGATTTTCAGTGTGTCTGTAAACACCGCCGTCTTTGCTGCAGCCATTTCAGACTCTGAACAGTTGGGGAATAGTGTTTATGCTAATGAGGCAAGAGCTGCAGATGGGGATGGGAACTGAACCCTTGTTTACTTGGTGTGATAAAAATAACACTCAGAATGATCAGTAAATTTTCTTCTCTCCCACAGATGACACCACCCGGGTATTACTGCAGGGACATGAAGATTATATTAATGCAAGTTATGTGAATGTAAGTTAAGAGTCTGGGCAATAAGAAAAGAGCAAGTTCATCATTGTAAGGAGGGTCTGAACAGCCAGTGGGTGCTTTGGAACTGACAAAGTACTCTCCTGTTCACTTGCACATTTCAGCTAGACAGCCATGTGAGGGAAGGAAAGTAGTCAGTATTACAGAGGAGAAAATTAAGGTTCAGAGAGAGTGAAGAATTTGAAAAGCCACAAAGCTAAGAGCAGATGGGACTGAAAATGTATTCTGTGTTTCTGATTCTGTTGTCCACATGCTTCTGGACTGGGCTGCTACCATTAAGGTGTTTGGTTTTGCCAGTGGTGTGTTGTTAACTTTGTGGTTTTTCCCATGTTATTAATGTCAGCCTACCTAAAAAATAAGAAAAATAAAACCTCCACTGTATGTATAACTCCGCCCCCCCCCAAAAAAAAAGAAAGAAAAAGGAAAAGGCTCACGTATTGTATGAAAAGAATTCTTTTTTTGTTCCCCTCTAAAGATGCCTATTGGCCGGGCGTGGTGGTGCACGCCTGTAATCCCAGCACTCGGGAGGCTGAGGCAGGAGGATGGCTGTGAGTTCGAGACCAGCCTGAACTACTTAGTGAGTTCCAGGTCAGTCTCAACTACATAGTGAGACCCTGTCTCAAAAAACAACAACAAAAAAAACCAAATAAAAATGCCTATTGGACAACTCACTTGGCCTCCGTGAATTTCAGTTTCATCTAAACATCAGGGTCAGCAAACTTGTTCTGTAGAGGGTCATATAGTAAATATTTGTTTTTACATTTAAAATATACCCATTTCAAAATGTTGAAAGCTATTCTTTTACAAAAGGATTCAGTCCAGAAGGGAAAAGGTAGAAATGGAACAGAATAAGAGAAATGTTCATTTTAAAACATTACAGCATTTGATGTCAAGATTAACCAACTTAATGATACAATCATTAAATGCCATGCAGAAAGTAAAGTGTGTCTAAAGTTAGTATAATCCTGTATTTATGCTTTACATAAAATAGTCCCTAATTTCATGGCATGCAAATATGTCCCCAAAAACTGTTTAAAAAGCAAATAAATGTAAGTTAACAGATTTTGATAGAAAAAAACTGCATAGGAAAGGATGAGGTGGGGATCTCTGTGTATTGCTGAAAATACAGGTAACTGATATTGGATATATTTAGGACAGAGCAATCAAAATCTTTTAAACTCTGCCATCTTGAAGGGACATTTCTGTGTTTTTCCTACCAAGTAGCATACAAGTTAATCTTAAAGATCCTAATGCTGGCATTGTCAGATCTTTTGCAAGCATTTTTAGAAATAACTTTTTCTTTGATTTTTTTTCTCATTCACTATAAATTGATAAATATTTTTCTGATGTGATGTCAATTAGCAAGAACCATTTTTAAATGCAGACCCCTGTCCACTTTGAGGCAGCCATAGATTCTAATACTTTACCAATCTCTTGCCAGATGGAAATTCCTGCTGCTAACCTTGTGAACATATATATTGCCACTCAGGGACCCCTGCCACATACCTGTGCACAATTTTGGCAAGTCGTTTGGGATCACAAGTTGTCACTGATTGTCATGTTGACAACTCTCACAGAGCGAGGGCGGGTAAGTGGTTTGATTTCCAATTCAAATATATGCAGTATGATACTGTGCTGTATGGAACATGAATCCCAGGGCTAGAATGGGTGTATTGGTTCAGCCCCAGTGTGACCCATAAATTTCCTGTTTGAAGCCACCAAATGGAGAACTCCTAAAACAGGAAGCTTAGTCCTCCTCCTGTCCACCTCAGGCATTATAACAAGCTAGGCAGAAGTTTCCTCTTGCCTCATTCTCCCTGCTACAGAACCATATGTTGATTGTGCCTTCACCCACCCAAGACAAGCACTGGAGGAGAAAGAGCAATGTGTACTATAAAAATAGTGGCTGTAAAAAGTAAGACGAATTCCACTGTACCATTTTCCACAGAAACAGATCACTGTTTACATAAGGCAGTGTGCAAGGGGTACTTTTGTCATGAATTTCCTATGTTCTAGATACATCTGCATGTCTTCATTATGAAGTCTGTATTCAGAAACACATGCCAAAGTCAGTTGTTATTTTGAACCACCTAATTTGAGTGATCGGCGTGCCGCTTTCTCTGAAGTGTCCTCCTCAGTATATAGTTCAGAATGCCAGAATAATCCATGTGGAAGTTGAGAGTACACAGGAATTGAAATGGGTAATACTTTGGAAAACAGTCTACTACTTTCTTACCTGAAGCAATAAATAAGATTTCCTACTAATTAATTATAAAGATTCTCATGGGTTGCAAGGAGCATTTACATGTGTTGTCCCAGTCAGTCAGCTCGCCACCTCTGCTAAATACTTCGAGTCTATCCTATGAGTGCTCAGCTCTAGCTTTTTACAAATTTCTGCTCATAATGCATGTGTCACTTTTAACTTCCACCCATTTGGTTGTGCAACAGAGAAAACACAGAGTAAATTCCTCTCTACTCTATGTGATGCCCCTTCAGATATCTGAAAATGACCTTGGACTTTCATTAAGATCATCATCAGCAGAGAGCATGTGGACTTTGTCTTAATTTTGTCATCGAGCCAGTTTCTTCCCTTCAGCACTTAACACTGGTCATCTTTTTCATTGCTGGAGCACAATACCCAGCACTCACAAATTAAAGAGGTATTTAATTTAGCTCATGGTTTGGGGGAATTGATTCCATCATTAACTGGCTCCAAAATAGCATATCATGGCAGACAGAGAAACGATGCTTATTTCATGGTGGCTAGGGAACAGAGCAAGGAAACAGTTACAGAGAAGAATGGGTGAGGGACCATGAATAGTACTCAAGACCATGACTTACCCATAAATACCCAGGAGCACTCTTTACTAATCTGCGAGGCATCTCTTAACCCAGTGAAGTTGGCATATCAGGATTAACAGTCATAATTCACTCTTTGTCAATTTCACACCCAAACACATCTTCTTAAACCATACTTAATCTCAAAGTGAAGACAATAGCAAGTTTATAATTCCACCTAATATAACTATCCCCCATACAACCAGAAGCACAATAGTCTGGTTAGTCTATTATCTCAACAGTTCCAGCATTTTTCAAAAGTCCAAGTCTCTTCTGAGACTTAAGGCAACCTTTAAGCTCTGAACCTCTGTGAAAATCAAAAACAAGTTATATAACCCCAAGGTTCAGTAGTGTAGCGCAACAATGGTGAACCTTTTAGAGACCAAGTGCATGAACTGTAATTAACACCCACTTATTTATTTCAGTGTGCCAACACTGCAATTAAACCTAATTATTAGGATTTTAGTTTAGAAAAAATTATGTTAACATTTTCTGTCATATAAAGAAAAACGCAATAATATGCATGCCATAGGTTCACTGCCACTGGCATAGGATAAACATTCCCATTCCACAAGGTAAGGGATAGGGGGACAGAAAAGAATCATACCAAAACCCAGCAGGATAAACATTAAGTCTGTACCTTCATATCTGGCATCTGAGGCACATGGTGATAAGGTGTGAGCTCTAGAAGGCTGTGATAGCACCCTCCCCTTACAACCTTGCTTGTTGAAGCCCCTGTGACCTCTCTCTTGGCTCTACTTTCAGACCACAGCTTCCCTCATCAGACATTCCACATACCTGCTGTCACTAATTTCCTGAGGTCTCCACTGCACTTGGCTTCATTCTTACCTCTTCACTCACTGCCCTCTCAGGGCTCCCTCCCTGGCCTTCCAGGCCTTCCCCTGAAATCTGGGTAGTTTCCCTCCTAACCTTACAACTCGCAGTCTGCATGTCCATGAAACCAACTTCACGTGGACAAACACCAAGATTGGCTGCCAGTTCAAGCAGTAGCTGGCCCCTTTGGATCATGGCTGCAGCAGCCTCTGAGTTCCTGGATGACTGAATACAGTGAAATGAATCCCAGGGAACCAGTTCCCTAGGAGGCTCTCGTCAAGCAGACATTCCAGGCAGGGACTGTCTTCTCAAAGGAAAGGTTTAACTTTTGCACCCTTGACTTTGTGATAGCTGGTATATTACTGATTACTGAGGTGCCTCCAAGTCATTTCTTGTCCCAGTACGAAGTTCTTTCTTTTTAATGATGCTAATCTCTTTGTAAGTCACACCTCCATTAACCCCAACTTTATACATGGTTCTTTCTGGGCCAAAACTTATATTTTTCAAAATTTTTTTGCTCGGCCTTTTGCCTACAATGCTCATTATAAATCTGGCTAAAAGCAGCCAGCAGTGCGCATGCCACAGCCTGAATGTTGGACTGTGTTAAAATTTCCTTTGCAGATTTTCAAACCACCCTTAATTACAGTCTCTTGTAAAGTCTCAGGACATGAACAGAATGCAGACAAATTTCATGCTAGAGTGTGACAACGCATAACCTGTAATCCAACTGCCAATGAGTCCTTGTTTTCAACAGCAATCTCCTGACCCTGGTCTTTACTATCATCATTCTAGTCTTTTGAGCTCTGGCTAGAATCATCCACCCATCAAGCTTTTAAGCCATTTGAAGGCTTTTCTAAGCCACGTCGCCAAACCTTTCCAAATTTCCACAAACCAGTTCCAAAGGCTTCTAAACTACATAGTAAGGTACAGTCACAGCAACATTCCTACTCCTAGTACCACTTTCCTGTATTAGTCAGCTTTCCTGTTGCTGGACACGGTACCTGATACCTAAATTTAAAGAAAAGGTTTAATTTGGTTCAGTTTCTTTCCATGGTCAGCTGGCTCCAAGTCAGAAACTTGGGGCAGAGGGTGAAGCAAAGCAAAGCTGCTTAGTTCATGGCAACCAGGAAGCAGAAGAGGGGAACAGTGCCAGAGCAAAGGGTTGAGGGACCAGACATAGACCCCAGAGTGGCACCACTGTGACCCACCCAGACATACCTAGAAGTATGCTCCAGCAATGCCCAAGGGCTATCCCTAAGCCAGTCAAGTTGAAACTACCCCTAATCGCCACAGCTTTAATGCCTTGATGCTTGGAACCTTAATTCAGCACTCTGGAGCCAGACTACATTGAACGCATGGTTCCAAGTGGCTTTTCTCACCTTTGGCTCTCCTGAATGTGCAGTGAAATGGTAACAGTACCTACTTCAAAGGATTGGTGAATACTCAGACAGTACACATAAAGGGCTTAGAGAACTGTTTGTCTTACATGACCGACAGATACTGCTGCAGCGCTCTTATCATCATTGATTGAACTCAATCCAGTTCTTGCCTTTAGGAAGCTCTTTAGGGCTTCCTTATTTAATGATATTAACTCACTCCTAGCTTTGTGTCACTCAAAAACTTGGTCAGAATTTCTTCTTATCATTTAAATTACTGATAGAAAAGTATAAAGTTCTCAGGAGGCAGGAGCAACTCCTCCTGAATGCTGTTAATCCTGACAGCTCTATTCTTGTCTCCTGTTTCTCTCTTCTCTACGCAGTTACCATGAGAGCCTGTCTGAGGCTCAGCTAAAATCACTGCAACAGCTCTGACATCACCTGATCTCTTTGTTTCAAAGTCTCATTTTTATCTATTTTGGTTTTAGTTATGTTTTTAAATTTTGTTTTTATAAGAAATTAACATGGACCTTTTTTGAATGTAGGGAACCCTCACTAGCTCACAGCACTGTCCTCCCTAGTTTTCTAAATGGCAGCCATCTGAATCTGTGTGTGGAGGATAAGAAGATACCCTAAAACCATGCTGAGTTCAAATTCTGTCTCTTCTGCTTCTACCTGTATGGCTTTTGAACTATATAAAATGGTATAAAAAATACCACCTATCTTATGGAGTTGTAGCAAAATTGAGTGAGTTTGTGTAGGTAGCCTCTTGGAAGAATGCTTGACATACATTAAATATACAAACATTAGCCAGAACAGCAGTAGTAATTTCAGTTCCACCTTAATGACCATTACTAGAACTGCAGTCTTAATATTTTTCTTTAAATTGACTTACCATTTTTTGATATAATAAATTTCCTTTGAAACATATTTCTTAAATGGAAGTTGGTATCCTTTGCTAGAAATAAAATGTGTAAAAATATAAAGACTACAAAACAATATTACTAAATTCTGAAAAACCTTGTCTTCCAGACTCATCTTGAACTCTGTACTTTCTCACTCTCTATCTCTATCATAAAAATAAAAGTAAAGTATTAGGGAAGTAATATTAAAGTGGTGCTAAACACATGGAGACTCTCCATGCACAATCTGAAATACTACCTGAAACAAAAATCACTTTCCCACCGTGCGTCTCCTAATGTGCTGCCAGCATCCCACCTTTGGCATCCCACACTGCTACTTTGGGTAGTAGACAGAGAGCCTTTGGCCGTGTCATTTCATGTTGTGCCTGCCTTCATTTGGTCCTTTGTTCTGTTTCTTTGGTTGCTGATACTCCAGATTTCCTAGGGAGCAGTTTATGGAGGTACCACCCTGCTCTCTCACAAGGCCTTTTAGTTCATAGTGGGACTCCTTAGAGCCAGCACCTGAACCTATTCAGGCAGCTCCACGCTGTCACAGGCTGCTGATCTGTGTCAAGCTTTTCTTTTCCATTTCCAGCTGGACAGTCATTCTTCCGAGAGAAAAGGGGGCTCCCCACAGGAACAGTTTGGTGACAGATGATCCACCTTGGATAGCAGCCCCTTCCTTCCCTTGCCCCACTTGTTCCAGATCAGGAGAAAAGACCCTGTCTGCTCTGCCTGCTCTTCCAGGTCCTGCCCCTCCTGCTCCGTGATTTGCTGTCTCTCTCTCTTGTTGGTGTCTGCCCTGAACCTGAGCTCATCAGAGGTCCCCATACGACCTGGCACTGTTTTTGTTCCTTGTCCTTTCTCCCCGGTTGAACCCATGTGCAGCTTTGTGAGTATTCTGTCAGAGAGACTCCCACCTCCCATGAGGCCTCCCATTCCCTTTTCCCTGTAGCAGCTCTGGCCCTGAGTACTTGCTGCCTTGTTTGTCAATTGTTAGAAACTGATCTTCCGAACTCCAGGGTATGGGTTTCCCTGTTCCTATTGCAAACTGCCAGCTGACTGGACCCCTCTGTTCTGTCTCCTCTTCATCACACCCCTACTTCTTTCGTGGTCTGTCGTTCCGGGCAGCGGCTTTGCCCCTCTCCTTTTCTGAGAGATGAAATCTCCAGCTCATCCGGTTTGTTTTCTCCTATGCTGCCCCTCTGCTAGAGGGGACTCCTGGTGGGTGTGTGTTGGCCAGAGGTGTGCCCTCTCTGTTTGCTGAGGAAGGCGTCCCCAAAGCCTCGCATCAATAGGTAGTCAGATGCCCACTGCAGGGTCACTTGACTTCTCCCCTTCTTCGTTTCCATCCCAAATGGTTTTCACTGTGCTTTCCCTTGAAGCCCGGCCTCTCTTCCTAGAGGTGTCTCTTCTCAGTTGGAAAGTCATTCTTCCTCACCTTCCATTAGATGTTTCTTTTGGAGGGAAATTACTTTTTACATTTATATAAAATCCATGAATAGTATAGATAATTTTCCTTCCCGGTCTTCCAGAGGAGGCATTTGAATTCTGGAAACATTACTTGTAACTGTATAACCTTGGACCAGACTTAATCCTCAATTTCAGTATCACTAGAAAGGAGAAGGTAATGCTCATCTCTTGTTATCTTTTGAAGAGAACAGTGCACTACCCCGAGCCTGTCCACGGCTGGTGTTCTGTGTAGGGTGGTGACCCCCATCCTTTGTCCTCATCTCACTGGGCCAGAGACACATGGTTTCACCCCTCAGAGTAACAGTAAGGGGCCCGAGATGGCCATGAGAATATGCAAAGCGATGAGAAGAAGTTTGAAGTGGCACAGGGCTCTGTCAACTCTTGCGGTCTATTAATTACAGTGTGTTTGGTAAAGTGTGCTCAGGCTCACGAGGCTCCTCTGCTGAGAGCTTATTTCTCAATCAGGTTTTGTCCTGCCCTCTGGGTGGTCCAGCACATGGAGTGGGACATTGAGTCTTTCACCTCCCGACCCCAGCTCCCTTTCTTCACTTCCTGATAGGATACATCTACCCAGCCTTCAGCACATGCTCTGTCTACACAAGCACATTCTTTCCAAAGCTGCTTCAACAGTCAGCTTTCCCTTTCTGAACTCTTTGCAGAGCCACTGGATAGCTTGCAACTAGAAGGAGAACAACAATGCCCCCCCTCAGCCTGTGAATCCCCAGAGAGACAGCACTCTGAGTTCTTCTGGCAGCATATGCTGTGGTTGTGTGTGAGGGGCCCAATGCTCACAGACCAGCTGCACTGACCATTGTCCTCTCCTGCCTGCACAGCTGTGTTTTCTTACCATTTCATGTCTGCCTGGCTGCATTCAGAGCCACACGGTGCAGCTCTGACTCTACCTCTGTTCCTATACATATTACCTGACACAAGTCAACACAGTCTCTGAGCCTCAGTTTTCTCCTATGCACAACAGAGCACTTACCTCAAGGAGTTATTTTGGGCCCAGGATAAAATAAATATCCATAACACGGTCCCTCCAGTGCTTAGTATATACTATTTCTAAAATGGGGATATTGGACTTCAGTAATTCCTCCCCCATCCCACACCAGCAGCAGCTCAGTTTCCACATGCACACTGTTGTGCTCAAGATTACACAGTTGAGGACCAGGGATTGAGCCCAGTGGCTCTGCTGCCTGCTTGGCAAGCACAAGGTCCAGAGTTGGATCCCCGGTGCTCCGCACCCCCAAAAAGAAAAGATGACACAGTTAGTTAGTAGACCTGATTAGCCCGGATTGAAACTCAGTACCTTTACAGACTTCTTGTTCTTCCCCCCCCCCCCCCATGCTTTCAGATCCAAAAACCTAAAATCTAGATTTGATCAGAGGTCAAGAAGAAGTCCGGGTCCTGTCAAATTCACTGCAGAATAGGTACTCTGAGAGTGCAGGTGTTTCTAGTTCTGCCTTGTGCTGGTTGATCCCTGCAGGTACATCTTCCCCTGGTGATCCTGCAGGTGAGAGCCTGAGCAGCCCGCAGGAAGTTTTTTGCTTCCTGCGTGGATGAGGAGAGACGGATGGACACAGAGCCTGTGTTTGTAGACTCTGCCTCCAGCCCTACAGACAGCAGCCCCTTCGCGTCTGAGGAAGTTTGGGAAGTGGCTCCTAACCAAGATACTGACATTCTGTTTCAAAGAAAATTCTCAACTCAACTTCCCAGCAGCATACTTTAACTTCAGATATTCACTGAGATATTTGAAAATAAGGCTAGAAAAGCTGTTTCCAGACAAATTCCATGTGTCTGTTGGTTATACCACCTTTCCAATCTAAACAAGTGTAATTTTTACTTAAGATGGTCTAACTTTAGGCTTGGGGAATTTTTTTAAGTCACGCTTGGTAGCACATGCCTTCAGTCTCAGCTGTGTCAGGAGGATTGCTTCAGTCTAGGAGTTCGAGGCTAGCCCAGCCAACTTAAAGACACTTCTCCCCTTTTAAAAATTTTTAGTGTTAGAATTTGACTGATGAAAGAATCGTGATGGAATGGGCATCCTAGCCTTCCTTGCATTTGGCTCAGAAGTGGTCTATGAAGAAGCTGCAGGGCTTGGAGGGGGTAGAACACCAGGAGGTGGTGACATCGGTCACACTGTGGGAAAGCCACGGCCACATCGGGAGGCACTGGTGAGCTGCAGGATTAGCACTGGACTATGCCACAGCAGCTTGTGGCCTTGAAGAAATCACTCTCCTAGTCTCGTCTGCTCCACAGGGAGTCTCCACTCCAAGGAGAATTTTCTATGAAAGCATTTGAGAGCCTGGGTTATGCTGGGATATTCTTTTCAGCTTAGGAATTTCCTGATTTGAGTTTTTTTTGGGAATCTCTGCCAGTCCTTATTCAGGTTGATGTAGATCCCATTATAACAGCAGTATTGATGGCCACTGCTGACCTGACCACCACGGGGAGCTCAGCGCCACACACCCTCTCCAACCTCTGTCACCATCCGTGAGGCACGTGTGGCAGGTGTGGGCTCTTACCTTCCCAGTAAAAAGAGGTTGACTTGATTGAAGTCTGTGTCTGACAAGTTGGGGAGGAGTCCTGTCTGACACTCAAATGTGCACTTGACTTCTGTACCTGGGAGGCTGGGGGAGAGTGAGTGAGGAGGGTGAGATATGGCTTTGGGAGCAGAAGGAAGGGGACTGGGTTGTCCTGAGAGGGTAGGGGAGTGGATAGAGTTGTTGATAAGCCCAGGCCTATGTCTGAGGCCTCTGCCGCTCTCTGTCAAATGAATGCTGGAGAGGAAGTGGGGAATCTCTTGTCCTCCTCCTGCAGACTGCAGCCCAGGGCTGGTTGGCCCCTGGCAGGCTGACGAGGAAGGAGGTTCCTCTTTACCCCACACGGGAATAAGTCCAAAGCACATGGCCTTTCTCTTCCTTTTGGCTATCATGGGGTGTACATGGCCAGATGCCTGACTGATCTGCCTGTCCGTGGTTAACTGTCCCAGTGAACCCCTCCAGGGGAGGCTCATATAAATCCATGGTTTCTTACAGACCAAATGTCACCAGTACTGGCCCGATCCCCCTGATGTTATGGACCACGGCATCTTTCACATCCGGTGTCAGTCAGAGGACTGCACCATCGCCTATGTGTCCCGAGAAATGCTGGTCACAAACACTGAGGTAAGCAGTGACCTGAGGGGGAACAGTGAAGGAATAGGTAGAAAACCAGCAGCCGCCATAGTCCCAGGTGGGGCTTCCCTTCCAAGTCTGCTCTGTTTGCACCTGATGAGGGTACCAGTAAATGTACAGGACTGCCTGTCAGAGAGCCAGGCTGCTGTGCATGTTCATTGAGGGACGAAGGATGACAGAATAGGAGTGTCCATAGTCCATGCAATGAACAGTATTACGCCTGACAAAGAGGGGCCATTTTGACACATGCTACAACATGAAGGAACTTTGAGGACATTACACTAAGTGAAATGGCCAGTTACAGAAGGACAAAGACCTAGAGATCCATTTATGTGAAGGACCTAAAATAACAGATTCATACAGACAGAAAGGAAAATGGTAGTTGCCAGGGGCCCAGGGAGGAGGGAGATCAGGGAGTTACAGTGTAAAGAGTACAGGGTTTGGGTGATAAAGTTCTGGAAACAGTGGTAATGAGCACAGCATTGTGAATACACATGATGACGCCCCTGAAATTTACATCTTAAAATGGTTAAACGGTAAACATGATGTTGCATGTATCTCACCACAGTCAGAATGAAAGAGTGAGCATTTGTGGCCCAAGTAGCAAGTACCATAGGAGCACGGTGAAGAAATCACTCTGGGTACCACAGGTCAGAAATGCTGTCCTGCTAGTGGCAACCTGAGCTGTGGGGAGGACGGGGTGGATAAGAGGCCACAGTATAGCTAGGCATAGTGGGGAGAAAGCACACTGGGGACGGGGCCACCTGGCCAGCAGTATAGGGGAAGAGCCCACTGCCTGGACAGACTCACCCAAGCCACTCCACCTTCTGCAGACTGGGGAAGAACACACAGTGACACATCTACAGTACGTGGCATGGCCTGACCACGGCGTGCCTGATGACTCCTCGGACTTCCTGGAGTTTGTGAACTACGTGAGATCCCTGAGGGTGGATGGTGAGCCGGTCCTAGTTCACTGCAGGTATATACTATGACTTGGTTCGTTTTGCTTTGTTTTAATACATATGCCCCTTGGAAATGGCCTGGAGATAATTAGTAGATACCTAGCCCACCCTAAATCCAGTAGTATCATGCACTTCTACAAAGCTGTTTTATTTTAACAATTTCAAAAGACTTGGAATTTTCTGAAATAAACATTTGCGTATACCACAGAGCTGAAGAGGGCCATCTTACCCACATCTTCCCCTCTTCTTAAATCTGCTGACCTGTACACCAGATGTGAATAAGAACAGGAGGAGAGTTTGCATTTAATGGTGGCTAAATTTCTCTCCACTGGTCGTTAAGCCCCCAGCCTCAAGATCAATGAGGATGTGGTTTTTCTGCCAGTCTGAGACCACCCTAAGTGTCCGCTTTGCATTCTTTTCTGTTTTGTTTTGTCTTGTTTTGGTTTTGTGGTACTGGGGATTGAACCCAGGGCTTTCACATGAGCTACACTTCTCTTTTTTTCTTAAGTTTGAGATAGGTTCTCCCTAAATTGCCCAGGCTGAGCTTGAAGCTGCAGTCCTCCTGCCTTAGCCTCCCCTGGTGCTGGGATTACAGGCAAGCACCGCCACACCTGACTGTGCTTTGTATTCTTGAAGACCAAGGCTCCTTCTGAGTAAATGTGCTTCAACTGTACAGTGCAGAATTGCTGCTTGGACAGATCACAAGACTCTGCTTCTCTCCCTTTTCCAGTGCTGGAATAGGTCGAACTGGTGTATTGGTCACTATGGAAACAGCCATGTGCTTAATTGAGAGAAATCTTCCGGTTTGTCCATTGGATATTGTCCAGAAAATGCGAGACCAGCGTGCGATGATGGTGCAGACATCAGTGAGTAGAAAACCAATAATTAAAATAGTAGCAGTGGTCAGCACTTCCTGAGCTCTTGCACTGGGCCAGGCTTAGGGGAGGACGTTGTAGTCAGGAGACTGAGACTCTAGAGGTCTCAGTCCTTTGTCCAAGGTCCCAGAGCTTGTCAGGGGATCCACAACTCCAGAGTCCATACCTGTCTTACTCCTGAGTTTTGCTGTCCTTGGCATCTGCCACCTCTGTGGCTTATCCTGCACGCTCCCTACAACCCCCTGGCTGACTGTGCATCGTCGAGCCAGTGGCCCATCATTTGTCCATTGGAGGAAAGCAGGGTCACTGAGGCTTTCACCTCAGTGCTTCCCTCCTCTCTCCTCCTCTGGGCTCTGTCCCACCTGCTTCATGCCTGAGTACTTGGCACTGCAAGTATCCTCAAGGGGACATTTCTGGGGTTTTCCCTAGAATTTAAAGAGCTTCAATGTGGGGTAGAAAGAGTATGATTCAGGCTCTTCCATGTATTGAGTGACTTTTGGATAGTCTCTTAACCTCTCTCCAAGCCTCAGTTTCCCCATCTGTAAAATGGAGACCATCTCCCACGTTCATTCATTCATTCATTCAGCAGATAATTGTGCAAGTAGAAGAGGCTCAGCCTGCACTGGTCTGTTACAGATCTCAGCAGTGGTGCGGGAAGTTCAGGGACATCTGAGAACACATGGCAGGTGTCCAAAGCCGGCTTTGGAAAGTTGAGGAAGGCTTTCCAGAGGTCTGGCCTTTGGAGCACAATTCCTAGAGGTGGTGAGAAGGGTTAGCAAGGAATGGATGGGGACTCACAGTCTCAGCCAGCCCCGTGTCCTCACAGGCTCGTGCGCAAAGTTCAGAAGATCTCCCTACTAGACTGCATCCTTGGCTTTATGTTAGTTCATAACCAGGATAAGACACAAAAAAAGACCATTTTCTATATTTAAGAACATTCTCCTCCCTAATTTGTGGTATGAAGACTTTATTCCTAGTTAGAAAGAAAGAGTCCATCACCTTGGTAGATTTTCCTAGCTGGAGAAATTTCATCTAAATGCTGTTATTTTTCCCTGTTCACATTTGTAAAATATGTTTCTTGGGTGTTAATAATGCAGTCAGCCCTCCGTTTCTGTGGCTTCCATACCCAAGGACTCGACTAATCATAGATAAAAAAAATACAGTAATGGTTCATGAACAATTCAGTTTGCAAACAAAAACATTGTCAAAAATGTTTTTAAGCATTTGGCAAAATTTTGCTTCCGTTTGCAAACTCCACATTGGGTGACAGACTACGGCCATCTTCCCACAAACACAAAGACAGCCATCTTCCCCAAAATCATAACACAAATTAAGGTACCATTGTATTAGAAAAACTGTGTCTGTACAGAACATGTTCAAACTGTTTCCACATCATTATTCCTTAAACAATATGTTAGAACAACTATTTACATCATACTGGTCTTGTAAGTGTCTAGGGATGCTTTCAAACATACAAGAGGATGTGTAAAAGACATGAGCGTCTGTGGATTCGGCTATCTGCAGGTGGCCCTGAGAAATGGCTGTGTAAACAGTGTCCTGCGGAGCATCTTCCAGTGGCTCCCCTTGTTAAGCTAAGACCCAGACTCCTTGTCTCCCTGCAAGGTGCCCCACCCTGTGTAGGAGTTAGGAGGCCACAGACAGGTTCATAGACTTATGGCCTTCACTCTTCCCTGGCACAGGGGCTAAAAATGATGGGAAGACTCATGTGCGCATGTAACAGTGTTCCTGGAGCCCCGGACCTGACTTCCGTCTCTCCTTTTCCAGAGCCAGTACAAGTTTGTGTGTGAAGCGATTCTTCGTGTGCATGAAGAAGGCTTAGTCCAGATGCTGGATCCCAGTTAGGACAACTGTGAAGCATTCATTCCTTGTCCCACGGACACCCTTCTGATGAGAGGGGCACAAGCCTTCCTTTGGAGGCTGCAGGAGGAACCTGGAGCTGTGGGAAGGGAATGAGCATATCTTAACCCCGGCACTTTAAATTTCTATAGAAAAGGTATCGTGTACATAGGGACTGGTGTAGATACGCATGCAACTATGGCTTCCTTTAAGCCCAGAGCAAGCAGCACAAGGGATCTTATATGGGACCTGTCCCACCGCCTTCCTCCCTACACGTCACCGCCCCCGCCGGCCGCCTTTGGGCACCTGGGAAGGGATGCCTCCAGTGCTGCACACCTCCCAGCAGCCAGGTGGTGTGGCTGTGTAAGCTGCTCAGGTACTGTGTTGTGTGCCGGATGCTGATAGCTGAGCTTTCTGTGCTCTCAAGAGAGGAAGCAGAACAGCTCAGTCACCCACCGCCGCTGCACAACATAGAACACCAGGAACAGGGCTGAAGGACGACAAGCAGTGCCTCCGCGGCCCACCCACTCCTCCCGCATCTCTTCCCTGCCCCTGCCCTGATGTGTCCAGAGCAGCCTCCTCTCCCTGGCACTGGCCCTTCATCCACACCCTGCCGACCCTGAGAACGATGCTGGCCCAGGAGACCTCCAGCCAGGACTGTCCATGTGACTCCCCGTCTTAGCTTCAGAAGCAGGTGTGTCCCTTGCCTCCGCTTGCCTCTTACTGTACACTCAGACTCCAGGACCGGATCCCTGACTACTGAATCTACCACATGGATTGCTGCTACTTCGCGCTGTCACACTCGAGGCCAGAGGGTTTTCCTGAGCAGGAAGGGATGATAGCATTCAGAATCTTTGGCCCTTCTGGGAAAAGACCTGCTAGTAAGTCACCATGGGAAGCCCTGCTTCTCAAGGGTTCCCTGTGGGTGGGTGGGTGTGTGCGTGTGTGTGCGTGTGCCCTCCATGGGTGAGTGTTTCTCAGGATTCCTAACGATTCAAATTACCGTTGAGTTTATAAAGAATGAGTCTCTGTACAGAAGAACAAATGTGTGCATTCACCCTCGGGTACAATGGTCTCCATTTCATTTCAGAGGCGAGGATCAAACTGTCTGAACAGAAACACAATTCGATGTTAATTTATTCTAAGTACCCAGGATTCCGATTGTCCTAAAGAATTCTGCCTCTGTGAATACTGTGTTAAATTTTTTAAAAATTTGTGACAGGATTGTAGCAAAGTATTATTTAAGGAAAATAAATTACATAAACATTTTAATGTGGTATTTTTAAATAGTTTTTGTGTATCCAGAAAAGGAATCTAAGCCAGCTTGTTATTTATAGAACGCTTTCATATTATAGCCCACATAGATGAAGCCACTTTAATATTAGGAAACTCTGGACCGATTGAATCATTTCCTGGTTGCAAGGAGGGATAACGACCTCCAGACAGGGCCAGATTTCTAAAGGCTCTCTATCTACAGACCTAGTGTGTTTACTTGTTCACCTCCTGTCTTCCCTGCATATATCTTACTGCTAAATGGCCTGGGTAGACGGAGGCAGTGCCCAGTGTGGAACCGTATACTCTATGGCAAGAAAATAATGGAAAAGTCCAGAGCCTGAGGGCTGCGAAGACTGGGTCCCTGCTCGAACTCAACACTAAACAGCTGTCATCAAAGGCACCTAGGAACTATATCCCCACTGCCTGCATTTCCCTTGTCTATAAAAGAAGAAAAACAATATCTAGTGTTCAGGTTGAGCGTGAAGACTGAGTAAGATCATGCTATGAATGTGAATTTTCATCATGTAGAGTATAAACTGACTCTACTATTGGATGATTTACTGGAAAAGCTAACCTCAGTGATTAGCCCCAAAACACATCAAAGAGAAGTGGAGTCTGGTAAGGCTTTATGAGAGAAAAATGTTCTAGAATGGCAGGACAGAAATGTGAAGACTATCACACCAGCACCTTTGTTCAGTCTGGACCCAGGAGAAAATGCCCTCAGCAAAGCACCAAAAAAGAGGAAGAGGAGGAAGTGCTGGAATAATTTAAATGCAATCGGGATATTTAGCAAATTTAGCCACTTGATAAAAATGTATCACCACCCCATGTGTAAAAAAAGCTTGAGAAGTCCAAATGTCTTTGAAGATTGTGTTTTATTATTTTTTAAAATAAATTGTTTAATGTGGCTGCAGAAATGCTGTCATTATAGATACATAAATTTCTAAAAAGCTTGCTGAAGGTTTAACTAGCCTTTTCTGCTACTGTGCAGACCAGCAATTCAGACCCTGCAGATGTTACCAGGAATAAAATTTGTGAAGTCCTGGGAAGAACAAAATAAGAAAATTATCTAAAGGAGTAAAATATGCAAGGAAATACTGTATATATTACTAGTAAAAATCCATAACCACCTTATGAATATCTGCAGTTATTCTTAAGCCTTTTTTTCATCCTAAGTGAAGAACCACATCAGAATCTGGGTAAATATTTTGCCTGGGAAATTTGGCTGGATGTGAATGGAGAAGACATATCCTACATACTGGTGCTTTTAGAAGATCTAATTAGACATACTGATGTGCAGACCTAATCAGGAAGAGAAGGCCCTGCTGGTGTCCCTCTCTAGAACCTACACTTCCTGTTTTGACTTTGAAAAGAAAGATTGAGCTCAGTTTGGTTGGGCTGCAGAGATGGGGTAGTTGAATCCCAAATCAGTACCTGCCACAGCAATTCATATTTGAATATGCTTTGAGATTAGTGTAGGTGCTATTGCTGCTCTGTTTTTGTCCCTCAGAAATTATCAGGGCAGCAAGAAGCCTCTTCATCCTCTAGAGGCAGCAACTTAGCAAGATATACTGTCCCAGGTTTCCTTTTATGTAAAAGGGGAGGATTAAGCTGGAGGAGGTAAGCACAAAATCTGCCATTCTTGGAGTCTGACACATGAGAGAAGCAAAAGTAACCCTTAGTAACATCTACACAGCTGCCAAGGAGAGATGGATCTCATTTCTATGGCTTTTCCCCTCAAGGTTGTCCCTCAGACCTTGGCAGTGTTGAATGGGAAAACAGGAATTGCCAGCCTTTGATTTTTTTTTTTTTTCTTCTCCTGTCAGCCTGGCTGAGAGCAGTGTCAGTAAAGATGGCAGCGCCTCTGTGTCCTCAGCCTGGGAAACCAAACCCATTAGATCCCAGGCTGAGCCTGCATCTTAAGAGCTCATGCACTGTTTGGAGCAACCAAAGGATTGTGTTAAGCCGTGTTGTTTTGAAAAGTATCTTAATTGATCAGCAATATTTTTCTCTGTAAATTTGGAATGTTTTTCATTCTGAGCTGTTCTGTCAGTGACTACTGAAAAACAATTTAATCAATATAAAAACACTCAAGCTATGCAACACTATTATTGTCTGTTGACATTTTTTATTCCTATGAATGTCAGATTTCTGTAAATGTTTCCTTACTTTGATTGTTTTCTTTGTTGTTAGTTTTCCTGAATGTCACCTCTTTTGGAGAAGAGTGTTCCACCCATCTCACCTTCCGTCTTAGTTAGGAGCATGGCCTCCCACACGTCTCTGCCTTCCCCCTGGGTGGCAGATTCTAGATCAGAATTTGGTTCCACTGTCATGACAGCCATAACGTGCACGAAGTACAAGTGTACCCTCCATCGTGCAGAATGCCAGGGTGGCTCCGTGGCCAGCAGATCCCGATGCTCTGCCACCCTCAGAGTACACCTTCTGTCTTGAGGTCTGCCAGCCATGGTCATATGCCAGCCAGCAAGATGGAGGAACAGGGAGAGAGAAACAAGACCCCCTTCCCTTCTTAGAGGACATCATTTGGATGCTGTACATCCTGTTACACAAGACTTAATGTCAGGACCTAATCTGTGAAGGAGTCATTTTTATTCTAAGAAGGCATGTGCTTAACTAAAATTCAGGGGTCTGTTTCTGAGAAGCAAGGAAGGAATAAGTTTGGGGGACAGTTAATGGGCTTTGTCGCAGCTCAGCCCTGCAGCTGCCCTTTTCCCGCATGGAGCCCACTCCACCACTCTGTGAGGGGAACAAACCCCACCCAGTTACAGGAAGCTAAAACTAAACCTACTTTGGGGTGATTTGCAGTCTTTCCAATTTGCTCTGGGTGGCTTTTTATGTTGACTTTAAAACTAAAAGGCAAGTTATCTTCCCACTACATAATCCACCAGCAGTAGTGAGGTAGAAAGAAACATGAAACAGCCAGGGGAAACACACCCATGCAAGGAGAGAGAGGAAGCCCAGAGCCCTGCCCCACTCTGCTCACAGGAGGCATGATGGTGCCCTGAAGTGCAGCCTGTCCCTGCAGAGCTCCTGACAGCCTTGCTGTCTGGAAGGGACACCTGGTCGCAACATGGCCACATCCATGGTTAGACTGCAGATGGTGGCCTTCTTGGGGACAGCCCAGCTTGTGTAGCCTGCCTGCTCTCAGGGCAGCTTCAGGAGGTCCACCAGGACGCTTTCGTGCTTCTGGAAGAGCAAGCTTGAGTTTTCTTTGCCAGTAGAACTCCATGAACACGGACATTAGACTCACATCTGAGCTCTGATCGAATCTCCTCTTAAGGCAGCTGCCCTGAGGCCGCCTGACAGAGGCTTGTTTGGGCATATGACACCCTCTACCTGGCCTCTGGGGCTACCTGGTTCACATGTGTGGCAGTAAAGTTTTGTTGCTCGCTCTGGGCTCAGTGTCTCCCATTCCAAGGCCATAGTTCTTGGTAGCTGCAACTTGGAAGACTGAGTTGACATTTCAACAAATGGCTTTAATCAGCTAGAGTCTGCAGACCTCAGTTTCCATCTCTGCTTGCTACCTGGCTGCCTCTAGCACCTGTTCACTGCACTCTTCCAGGGCCTCCTGAAAAGCAGCGGGAGCAGCATTCACACTCTACGCACCCTGTCACTGTTTCTTCTACTCCTGCGCTCTCAGCTGGTGTGTGGTCAGTCTTCCAAGGTACAGAAGAAAAAATGTAATCAGCTATTTTGCCACTATATAAAAACCAGTGTATGTCTCTGCCATTTACTAGCCTATCGGTTCCACTAAGCCGTTGCCACATTTTAGATGTTATTTGCAGCATCTCATTTTCACGTATAAAATTCTCCTCTACTATCCTTATATGCAGCTTCCATCTCATGGTTCAAAATGGCTACTCCAGCTACAGCCATCATGTCCACATTCTGGCCAGGAAAAAAGGCATATGTGGGAGGGAGCTGCTTTCTTCCTTTCCCTTTAAGGGTACTTCCTCTGATTTACATACATACAGCTCGGCTAGGAAGGTTAGGAAATATCTTTATCCTGGATGGTACGCAACACACCCAAGACTGAGCTCTATTGAAGAAGGAGAAATGATTGTTAGGGCCTGATTAGCCTCCCCTGCATGTTCAGATCTGCCAAAGGGCTCGTTTATGAGGAAATACCCTGCACGCAGAAGCAGCTGCAGCGGTGTCATTGCTGCAAGACCTGCCACCCTGAAGTTAGCAGGGACAGTATCTGGCAGGTTCAGCATCTCTCAGTCATGTATGGGAATCGTTTGGATACTAATGGACTCGGGACACCAAAGTATGCACTTCCCTGGAAACCCCATCCCCAGCGTACACAGGTCCACATGTCAGTCTTCACCCATGAGCACTCTCAGGCCCTTGTCTGGTTAGTC